CCAACCACCCACCCCAAAACCAAAAAAAGAAACGCCAAAATGCACAAAGGAAACGAGATGATAGATAACAAAATACATACCAAACATATGGAGTAAAAGATAGAATATGGATACTGATAACTTTTCATTTAGAAAACAGATAGAATATGAATATGTTTAACAAATATATCGAAGGACATTCTTTTATCGATTCATTCTCTATCTACACAACAGCCACAATCTAGTAATTTAAAAATAGGCCAGCTATAAAAATAAAAGCTGCAACACCTAATAGACTAATTCCAGAAGCCAATAAAAGTGAAGTCATGCCACGAGGTACAAAGGTGCATCACCTTAAATCAACTATAACAATCTTTTTTTTCTCTAATTGCAGTGAAGCATACAAAAATCACATGATATTCTCTCACCTCGTAGCATGAAGAATCCATCCCTAATTAGCTTTGTCAAAAATGTCTCAGTGGCTGGGTAAAAGAATCGTCTTCGGAAATGATGTTGTCCCATTATTGGATGCTCCTTGTATATTAAGGATTGTGGTGACCAGGTTGTAAATCTGAACGTTCTCAAAAGATGGCACTTTACTGCCCCTGGCAAACCGAGGACCATGGGCAATGAAAATGGTCCTCATTGAGAAGAATGCATTGTCATACCCATGAGATCCACCACACTCTTTCCTTTTTGAGCTCTTCTGCTCGACCTTAAATGATTCATCAATCAACCCAATGATGGGTGGTATCCGATTGCTTGCAGAATAATGCAGCCGGGCAGGCAGCTCCTCCTTCAGATAGACTTTCAAATACTGACCATTCTGAACCTTCCCCGACTTTAAACCCTCATTCATCTTGGTAACCACATCCTTAGCGGAGTAACTTGGTGGGGGGCGAATGGAAAGCAATGGACTATATGATTGTATCCAATCCTTTGGAATTTCAATCCAGGGAGCCAAATCCTCCAAAAAGATTAACTTTTTATCACAAGTACCAACCATACCATGATCGCCAACCATTATAATGTTCACATCCTCAAAAAACCCTCTTTCTTCTAAACCTCGGATCAACCTCCCAATCATACCATCAACTCTTGCAACGGCTTCAGTGATTTGAGGATCATCTGGCCCAACCTTGTGACCCTGATGATCAGGGTCTTCAAAATAGAGTGTCATGAATGAAGGAATTTCATCAGTTGGCAAGTCAAAGTAGTTCAGAACAGTATCAACTCTTTCCTCAAATGGCACAGAACCATTATACCTCACACAGAGAGATTCAGGGCAAGTCCAACCTCCTTTAATCACCTCGGAGCCAGGCCAGAAATAAGTGGCAGCCTTAAGACCATGATTGACCACAGTCTCCCAAAGCGGCTCGCCGAGCCACCACTTGGGATCATGACTCCCCATAGTGAAAGCCTCTCCGGTGTTGGGATCAAGAAAGAAATTGTCTATAATACCATGATAAGCAGGGTATAAGCCAGTAACAATGGCGTAATGATTAGGAAAAGTCAAAGTTGGGAACACAGGAATTAAACCCAATTCGGCTTCTGTCCCATTCCTAATCAATCTATTGATATTTGGCACATCTGTTTTGTACTGATATCCAAAGCGAAACCCATCTGAGGAAATCAATAGAACAACTGGGCGTTTGAGTTTCTTGAGTGGCCGTGATACAACATTAGAAATGGGTTGAGAGGGATGTGAATAAGAGGAGGAAAAGAAGAGGAAACCAAAGGCAATAGCTGCAGAGAGAGCTATACAAGTAACAAGAATTAGAGCAGTGAAAATTACAGTAGTCAAAGAGGGTTTAGGACGAGTAAATGTGGAAGAAGAATCTGTGTCAAAAGAAAGCAAAGAGGTAGAAATTGGTGGGTCTTCTTCTTCCTCTTTTGTGGGTATTGCCATTGGCTTGTTGTTGCTTGATGCTATGAGGGAGACTGAATCGGAATTCATCATCCCACATAAAAAAAAAGGTACGATCTTTCGCCTTTCTGAGCTTAGAAAATTGCAACCAAAAACAAGAATTCAAAAGGGTATCAAGAGAATCAGTTACATGAGATCGAACGACGAGATTGTGAACTACGTTTGTCTGCTGTGTATTCAACAGTTCAAGTTTTGGTTATTGTTATGGCAGATGGGAAATGGAGTGTGAAGGAAGTGAAATGGATTTATTAGTTGAAAGGGAGGCGTCGGAAGTAGAATTAATTAGCAAGTCAGATGCTGGACTTTCGTTAAGACTACGGAAGATCAGTTTGGTGCTTAAGATCAAAGAAAGCAATTTCTGCAGAATAATTGGGGAATTTCCTATGTGGATACCAGAATATTACTATTACCACTGTCTTAGTGAAGAGAAAAACTGTGTTTGACTATTAAGATTAACGCGATATACATAAAAATAAATTATACATTAAATTCACGTTAGTCGAAATTAGCATAACCCTTAATATTCATTTGGATTCACATTATTAGAAAAATTCAATAATTTGAGATCTCGACACTAAAAATATTCTATTGTTATGAATAGTTTGTACATTGGATACTACTTTGGATACTACATTGGATGCTACATTGGATGTCCATATTGTGAATAACTTAAAAGATTAAATTTCCTACTTTATGTCCATCATCTTTACTTTTTATGCCTATAAAAGGTCATGTAATTGCAATGGAAAAATACACCAAGGTGAAAGAAGAAAACACTTCTCTCTTCTTTCTATCTCTTTTTATTTACATTTTACTGCATTACTTTTATTTTATTACACGTTATCAGCACGAAGCTCTAATTTTATTCTTAACACCCGCTAAGTTGAGCCATATTTTATTAAGGTATGTATCATTATAATCATCTTATTTATGGCAGTACATATCATATGCTCACTGTTTGCAGATTACTTGTGCGCTTGGGCATCTTAAATAGTTTAAGTACATTGCAGTGATTAAATAACTATTTCCTTCCGTGCTCAACTCTTAGAGGACCTCAAAGTTATCAAACTAGCTATGCACTAATGTCATGAACTCCCTGGATCAAAACATATCTTTTAAAGCATTTTGAAGAACTGTGAGAAATGAATTGACAAGCAATAATTTTTTTAATTACTTTATATTTATTGGAACATATAAATAATGTTAGTCATGTTCAATTATATTAACACACACACACACACACACACACACACACACACACATATATATATATATCAATAATATAAAGTGAAATGAAACAAGTATGTAATTTCTACTTTATGGCAAGAATAAAATGAAATAGTAGATTGTTAACATGATATAGCTCTATTTTTATTTCTTTTACCTTAATCGTTTTGTTTTTATTAATTGTTTATTATTATAATAATTTCTCTAACTTAGTCATCTTTTATGATAGTTTTCACTATGTCAAATTTATTAAAACTTGAATTTGTGGCACTTGACATCACCGGAAGGAACTACTACTTATCATGGGTTCTTGATTTTGAAATTCACCTTAACGCTAAAGGTCTTGGAAATACTATTATACAAGGAAATGAAGCATCAAATCAGGATAAAGCGAAGGCCATGATTTT